ACAAAATTTGTGTCTATTTCTGTTTTGGATAAAAATATAACTTCCGTAACATTATCACCCAAATTAAGTTTACAACTAGGTTATGAACCAAATAAAAATCTCCTAGAGAGAAGTTTTGGAAAGTGTCCTGCTAATTTACACTTAGGGTTACCATCTCAACTCTTTATATATTGCGACATTATCGATCCTCAGATTGTGGGTGATGTTATGACTCCTTTACTAAGAGTCATTTCATTAGATCCTACAAAATACATTTATGGTGCAAATAAAATGCACGTTTTCTCTCAACCTCACTACTTACCTGTTATGCGAAGAGAGTTCGATACGCTGGAAATAGTTATAAGATCGAGCACAGGACAAAAAATACCATTCCAGTTTGGAACCGTGTGTATTAAACTACATTTCCGAAAATTATAATAATGAATTCTCTTCGTGATCATCATAAATGTCCATATGAAAATTATTATACACATCAAGCTGGGTCAGGAGTTGGAGTAATTTATAAGGGTGCACCATACCAACGCGGTCATGGTATTGGGAGCTTCTTAGGGGGGTTATTTAGATCAGTTTTACCTTTACTTTCAAGTGGTGCTCGAGTGATTGGTAAGGAGGCATTAAGCGCTGGAGTAGGACTTTTATCGGATATAGTTCAAGCGCGTCCTATGGAAGCCTCAATAAAAGATCGTCTAAAGCAAGTTAGTACGAATTTAAAACGAAAGGCTGATGAGAAAATTGATCAATTTAACATGACAGGATCTGGGTATAAAACTAAAAGAAAACGATTGACCTCGTTCATTCCACCATTAACTGCTAAAGTGAAAGCTGCGAAAAAACTTGGTATAAAGCCAAAAAATAACAAAGATATATTTTCAAATTAAATATGTCTTTCCTTCATAATCATTCTTGCGAGTGCGTTAAGTCAGAATTGGATTTGTTTGCACTACCGTCTACACAAACTAGCATTGAAAATGGATTGTGGATTTATTATAAACCAATTTCATCTCTTGGTGATGATGGACCTATCGAGTTTCAAGTTCCTGGGACAGGTGATGACTACATAGATTTGTCTCATACATTACTCCACATAATGGCAAAAGTATTAAATCAAGATTCAACTAACTTGATATCTACTACAATAGTAGCACCTGTAAATAATTGGCTGCATTCACTTTTTAGTCAACTTGATGTTTATTTAAACCAAAAACTTGTATCACCACCTAATAATACCTATGCATATCGAGCATACATGGAAACCCTTTTAAACTATGCTCCTGCTGCTAAACAATCTCATCTTACTTGTAGTCTTTGGTATGATGATACAGCAGGAAAAATGGATTCTACGGATGGTAAAAACATAGGATTTGTTAAAAGACAGGAATTGATTAGTGAAAGTAAGGAAATAGAAATGATTGGTCATCTTCACGGTGACATTTTCAACCAAGATAAATTTTTAATTAATGGTGTTGAAATGAGTGTTAAATTGGTTCGATCGAGAGAGAGCTTTAATTTAATTGCTGGGTCAAACGATGTAAAGTTTAAAGTTTGCATTACGGACGCAACTCTTATTGTTCGACGAGCACGAATTAATCCAAGTGTATTACTCGCACATCAAAAAGTTTTAGCTTCTACCACTGCTAAATATCCTATTACTCGAGCTGAAGTAAAAGTTTTAACAATTCCATCGGGTGTTCAAGGAAAAACTCTTGATAATATATTTTTAGGGCAGGTACCCAAAAGATGTATAATTGGATTTGTGAACAATTCTGCATTTAATGGTTCCCTTACTAAAAATCCATTTAACTTTGAAAACTATGGTATTAATTCTTTCAGCTTATATATTGATGGTCAACAAATACCTTCAAAAGCTTTGCAACCATCTTTTAATAATAGCATATTTACATCAGCATATCATACTCTATTCTCGGGAACTGGTATTCACTTTCTTAATGAAGGAAATGGAATCTCTTGTGAACAGTATGCCAAAGGTTACTGTCTATTAGCATTTGACTTAACTCCTGATTTATCAGCCAACTCATCAGCTCATTGGAATCTCATAAAGCATGGTAGTGTAAGACATTACTTAATATTGTAATACGTATTATTGTAGTATTATTTTTTATTTCTTTATAAATATTCTATTTAATCTAATACAAAACTCTGTTCGAGTTTAAATTTTACATAAGCACACTGACTAAACCACTGAACATGCTGCTGCCAAGGATCATCATCATCTTCCCAATCTTTTAAGCCACCACCACAATGGAAACACTTGGTCCTGTCTGCATGGCCAGTATAAAAGAAACCGGCTTCTGCAAGATCTTCAGGTTTCTGTCGCATAACGAGAGGCCAGTTTTCGAAACTGAGCAACCGGCTAGATTTTGAACTGAAGAATGGATATTCAGCTCTTGAGTACTGCATATTCTCGTTTTCATCTCCACTCAGTGTTGTAGTTTTGTTCTTCAATGATGTGTTCTGTACACGTATGCCACACTCATCTCTTTCTTCTGCTCTTGTCTTCCTGTAATTTAAGTAAACAGAATCACATTCACTAATGATCAGCTAATGACTGTCATTGTTAAAAAAAGTATTTTTTAACTTTTTCACTTTCTGCTATTGTCTTTGTAATATTGTATACGAGGGCGTTTGTGTTGTCGTAGATGCTATCCTTATTAGTCTTTACGTAATATTTAATCCTCGTGGAAGCATGTTTCCAATGATCAGTAGTTGGAATCTTGGATAGCTTCTTCATATCGTACATTTCAATTTTGATGAGATGCGTCGCTTGGTCTCCGTCGTCAGAATTAGTAGAAATGTATGATACACCATCTCTAGCGGCTCGTGCTAAGGTTGATGATAACAGCTTCCTCTTTTTTATTTTTGATTCAGCTTCAAAAAAATGATCAATCGATTGCGATTTTCTTTTTCCACCATCGCATGTGTTATTATTAATGACGATGTCATCACTCTCTTCTTGAGGGGAGAGTGGCGAGTAGTAATACTGTTTATAGGTATTTTCATCGAAGCTCAATGATTTCTGCAACAACACAGTTATCATGTTAATATCAATTTGTTAACACTTAATCATAAAAGTTAAAAAAAGCTAAAGTTACAACCTATTAAAGTCCACTGCTGAACATAGGCCTCCTCTCATTTCTGAGAGGGTTTTAGGGCTAGGAAATGTTCGCTGCGATACCTCAATGCGTGTTGGCAAACTTCACATGCCTTCGAAATTTTCTCAGACATGCATTCCTCACGATATTTTCCTTCACCGCTGAGCACGTGGTAAATCAGCACTTAAAATTGTAATTAACAATTTAATTGGTGCCGGCGGGGATCGAACCCGGGACGTGTACTATGAAGTTTACATTTTGCGCTAACCATCTGAGCTACCACGGCTTAACCATATACACACACATAATATTTAAATATAATTTGTTAACACTAAATCATACACACGTAAGAAAATAACAGAAAGAAAAGTAAGTTTGTCAATAGAATAAACACTTACATCCATGGCCTTTGATGCGTTGAAGTAACACAAACGTAGTATTGATAGATCCACTGCGGTCAAACGACCATACACTAACTCCATGACTGCAGTTGCTTGGTCTTATATAGTACCAGTGAGTAATAATTCTAATCTAAAGAATTTCTGCAGTAGAATTGATAGTATCTTTATGCGTCAACAAGCTAACCTTACATTCTGTTGCTTATCTCTACATTCCAACGTCCTTCCTGTCATGTCTTGTTCAGTGTATTGGTGACTCAAATACGTTTTGTATAACACAAAGAAAGCAATTTAATATTTAGATATCACTATAATTGATCATTCCTATATTAGTCATTGAGTAGATTGGTACTGTAATAATCTACTAATAGCAGTAATATTATGGATACACTAGATGTACAACAACATCTGAAAAAGATTCACCCAACTCTAGAAAATAATGTTTATGCTGCCAATAAACTACCCATGTACACCCACGTACCAACGTATATAATATGCAATTTGGATACAGATGATAAACCAGGGTCACATTGGGTAGCTTTATATATCCATACGAATGACGTCGGTCAATATTTTGATTCATTCGGACGGGCACCTGTACGATATCATCTAGAGTTTTTTTAAAAGAAATTGTAAAAGATGGAACTGGAATGTTGATAGGATTCAGAATGAGTGGACTTCAGTTTGTGGCGAATATTGCTTAATGTATTTGCTATATAAGTTTCAGGGATGTTCAATGCATAGTTTTACGAGTATATTTACAGAGAACACATTGTACAACGATATTTTAGTGGATGAGATGTTTCGCTCCTATTTTATAGATAATAAGTAATAAGATTTTGTATTTCATAAATAAAAATTTTAACAAAAGTAGGTAATGTGTTTTATTGATGATTCAGATTAGTGTTGTAGATAGGAACAAAGGAGTATAATACAATAGCATAAGCCGCCCCACACGCTGGACGAATAATAGATAATGACGGTAGTCAATCAACAATAGATAAGTAGATAAGGACAATGGAGCGCTAATGACGGTTGAGGCTCGCAGCGGATATCAATTAGATAAGAGTTAATTGATCTGCACATCTCCGGAACCGTGCATCCTACGCAAAAATGGACCGCAGATTCGTGATCAGAGCATGCCAAAACCTTTTTTTTTTTTTTTAGGATTGTGAGTCGACGAACGTCGTGCGCCAGAACTGGTACAACCTTTCTACAAGTGCGCCAGAACTGGTACAACGTAACTACTCCCGTAAATTTCCACTGCTGCTACTTACTATACTCAATATCTACCAAAAAATATTTTGGATTGTATCTTTATTCGTTGGTTTGCAGGCATAAAAGAAAAGAAAGTCAAGTTACTGATGTTTTATCAAGGACAAAAAGTCAGACTCAAGTGATAAAACTTACTAATTAACTTTCTAAACTCCTATTAATAATTCATAATATAAGAATTCCAATTTAAAACAACATAATTAAATTTTTTTTTCAGATTCTAACTATACCATACATTCTTTTGTGTATTTACTGCGACTGGCACGAACTCACAAAAGCAAATGTTCCGCATATAAAGACGATAATGAATATTAGAAATTTTTATTTCACCAATCTTATCCTGCCAGCTACCTTGGTAAATCTTATTTAAATATTTTCTACTTTTGACAGTGTATTTTAATGTATTTAGAAAAATAATAATGGGTCTTTACCCATGAAATTGCCATTCTACAGTACTGGCCATAAAAAATCAAAATAATTTTTGTTTAACTTAGGATTCATATTTAAAATTAGTTTTATTTTAAAAACATGGAATTCTTTTTTCAAAGTTAGTCATTTGTTTATTGATAAGCGTTATTTTTCATAGCATTTGAATATTTTTCGTCATCAAGAATACGTTAAAAATTCGAGTAATTATGTAACATGAGTACCGTTGTGGCAGCAACGCGGCACAAGCGGCACGTAACATCAACGACGTCAATACTAGAAACGAACGCACCACTTGTTTTAACAACCTTAAAATGAATTCGATTTGACAATCGCAAGTATTCAGTAAGTTAATTGAATCCTGATTCAGCACATAAACAATGCCCTAAACGAAAACTTACCCCATGAAAAGTGATGGTCACTGTTTAATGGTATAGTGTCGGTGTGGTTCATCACAGCTTTCAAGTCTCCAAGTTATAAGAGTTGCAGGTTGGATACTCTCCGTCATCCGCCGTTCTCACCAGACCATGCTGCTACAGACTTCTACATTTTTCAGAACTTGGATAACTATTTGGCGGGAAAAAATGCAGTAACCGAGAGGCAGTACAAAATGCCTTTAAAGAATTTGGTGCCTCCCGTCCCGTCCTGATTTCTTCAAGAAGGGCCTCAATAAAGATCAGTGCTTATTGATGATAACTTTGATTATTAGAAATAAATATATAGAAAAAAAAATTACGTTAACTTATATATTAAAAAGCGGCAATTTCATAGGTTAAGATCTAATATTATTGAGGTTAATTAATTTAATAATTTTATTTATAGAAATAATATAGTTTAAAAGTGGTGACATGTAAACTAAAGACGAATCTGACGGTAATAAAAAAACTGTTATCTTTATCTTAAGATCCTCAACTCTAACAAACGATGAATACATAATATAAATTAATGTTTCAGTTCCCAGACGTCTTATTCTGGAACTTATGGTATACGAACCGAGAGCTATTGATGCCACTTTCTGTCGACAAGTACGTGTCGTTGTGGGAGCAACATAGCATGCATACAGCTTCGCTAGTATTCGTAATATTGGACCTAGTATTGGTTCCTCGACAAAAACCTAGCAATTATAGATGGGGCATTATCATCCTCTCTACATACTTATGCGCCTATATTTTAGTGTAAGTATTATTATGGTTATAGCCCTCTCCATCGCTCGCTGAGCAACCTTGAGCGTCCTTATATTCCATACGCCAGAAAAAGATTCCAGCTGAGCTTTTGAAGATTTTTCAGTACTGGTACAATAATCAGTATAATAATGTGAGATGGGCCGATAAGTTCTCTGAAAGGTACAGATTGCAATGTGGGGTCAGACAGGGAGGAATTACGTCACCAAAGCTTTTCAACCTGTACATAAATGACCTAATCGTTGAACTCAGCAGCAAAAAAGTCGGATGTCGTATCGACGATGTAAGTTTTAACAACATAAGTTACGCGGATGATATGGTGTTGCTGAGTCCCACGGTTAAGGCCACCAGAGAACTCCTTAAGATATGTGAGAAGTATGCGTTAAACCATGGCTTGCGATACAATGGTAATAAAAGCGAATTCATGGCGTTTAGGGCCGTTGGCTGTAAAAGCCCAGAAAATGTGCCTGCAATTAAATTGAATGACATTGAATTAAAACGCGTTGATAAATTTAAGTACCTAGGGCATTTTGTTACCGATGACCTAAGTGACAATGTTGATATTGAAAGAGAACGTAGGGCGCTGACGGTCCGATGTAATATGTTGGCACGTAGGTTTGCGCAGTGTAGTGAACAAGTAAAGATAACACTATTTAAAGCGTACTGTCAAGTTTTCTACACGTGCAGCCTGTGGTCGAATTATTCACAGCGGACTGTCGACACCTTACGTGTCCAGTATAATAATGGCTTCAGGATCTTGTTGGGGCTACCCCGATTTTGCAGTGCATCAGGCATGTTTGCAAAGGCGCGTACAGATGACTATTACGCCCTTATAAGAAAGAAAACAGCCTCGTTGCTTGGCAGGGTGTGGGTTAGCTCCAACTCCATCATGAAAATAATTGCTGAAAGATACGACTCATTCCTCCTTAGGCAATATTACCGCCTATGTTTAGTTAATAAGGCGTTTATATTTAAGAATTAGATTTAGGTACTAACATAGGTTATAAGTTCCATATTTACTAACAAATTTTATGGATCACTTGGTTATCTGAAATAAAATTATTATTATTATTATTATTATATGGCCAGCAGTGAAGGATCACGTATCAGATCCATAAGTCATCACTGGCAACACGCACTGGTTATACAATCCCGTTTACAGGTTTTGAAGTATACCTGACGAGAAGATCTGTCGTGATCTCCCGAACGCAGCCCAGCCGAGTTAAATCCGTCGATTATAATGATTGATGATGATGAACTATTACTATGATTTATAGTTATGATGATTTCTAACTTTTTTATTGACATGATTCAAAATCACGATGACATAAATAATCATCATTATCGCCACCAAAAAGCTGTAAATCGACATTAAAATATTCATAATAAAATATTTGTCTAGTAGCACTTACCCGCCCGGTTCGCTAGATGTAAATTAAACTTCAGTTCCTATTAATTGTTACGAAAAGTAGTCTTTGTTCTTTTCTACACTACAATTGAGTTTTGTACCAAATTTGATTTGGCTTTGCCCAGCCGTTTAAACGTGATCAAATGAAAAAGATCCAAAATAAGAAATTTCATTAACGTTATATTTGATATACTTTTATTTTTTATCAGGTGTCTTCAGAGTCTTTTAAAAGAAGAATACGTATATCCAGGTCTCAAGATGTTTTCAACGTTTCGACTAATTCTATTAGGTATATATTTTTGTATGGGCCACTACTTCTACTATTTAGGCCAATGGTTTGTTATTGATTTACTTTGGGGTCAAAAATGTAACGTCAAGGGGACGGATTGATTCTAATTTTTAATACCTTATCATTAAAGAGATTTAGTTTTACTAACTTCCTGTGATTTTTTATTAACTCCTCAGTTCCCGGCTACAATGATTAACACCGCTAGCTCATTTCGCGTGACCCGGCGTCGCTAAAAATAACCTAACCTTGAATTTTTCGTACATTTATTTTCTATAAAATTCGTTATTAATTTCAATATAATACTTGTTTCTGTTTATTTATCATGTTATATTACTAGCTTCAGTGCTTTTACTTCATTACAAATATGTAGTCGCATCTATAAAATGCCGGTTGGATCAAGTGACTAGTTGAAATTGAGGGTATATCGAGAAACCCTCCCACTCGTTTGTGCAGTATAAAGTTCAGTGTAGGGGCAGAGCGTGAGAGATTCCGCTTGAGTCGTTTCACGAGTGAAGTCGTTCTACGCGTGCTAAGATAGTCGTTGTTCTGTCCATTGTGGTGATTCTTCTGGTGCAGGCAAGGAGGAAGGTGTTGCTGAGAGGCTGTGCTGTGTTACATTGAGATGGATAAGGTTGCTGTTGGTTTGGTGTTATCATGTAATTGTGTCCTTCACATTGCACTGGTATGTAATTGTGATGGGGACATACTGCGGTATGATCAAACTGTAATTACTCTATGCTGAATGTATAGTGCGTTACGTTGTCCTGTTATTGATAATGATAAATTGCGCAAGCAAGAGAGCAAGATGAACATCACTCACTAACACACTTTTACTATTTTTAATAATTAACGCTATCCTGTTTTAAATATAAGTTTTTATGGTTTAAAATGCTGTGGGTGGGTGTGATCGGATCTGACCACTTGGAATTTGACGGAATATCGCCGTGGTCAGATCCGACCGCGTGCATATTGAGAGGTTAAAATAAATTCTATTACAATGTTTTTTGCAATATTATTGTCTTTGCAGATAGAAATCTAATTTTTTCTATTAATCGCTGTGACTGGGAATCTTTTACGCCATCATCAACTGGTAAATGTTTACAGCTGGGAATTCTAACCTTATAAAAGCGATCACAGAACCAGACGTCTTACAATACTCCCACGGTCCAGACCCAGTATTTTACGTCTGGAGTATGCCAGATAGTGTTCATCACTTTTTGCAATTAAGTTCCTTTTGGCAATTTCCGTCATTGCTCCATACGACACCCAAGCGACCAACACTGATAGATTTTCTTAAGTTGCCACCATATGATAAGTGCCTTTAGATAATGCATTATATAAAGTCGCAAGGGATCAAGGAAAACATCTTGTCAAGTTCAAACTGACTCCCATTAAGGAACAGTACTATCATTATCATCATTATAGCCCTTTTCAAATCCACTGCTGAACATAGGCCTCCCAAGGAATGCCACACAGCACGGTCATGAGCCAACTACATCCATCCACTTCCTGCATGTCCAGGTTGTCACTTTATCCAGCTGGGTCCGCTCCACACATTGCCACTTTAGCTTACTAATCCGTGGGGCTATATCGGTACTACGCAGATATCCTCATTTCTAATTTTATCATGCAATTTTAGAAACCCCGAACAGCTCAGAGAGCGATGGAGAGGTCTTGAGCGATTTTGAGCTTCCTCATACGGCCAACAGAACCAGAGTATGAAACCTATACAACTACAAAAAAGGTATAAGACAGGGTGTAGATATATAACCGAAAATCTTTACCACTGCAATGGAAGACGTTTACAAGCTACTGAACTGGAAAGACACGATATTAACGTCAATGGCTCGTACATCACTCACCTTCGATTACCGACGATTTATTCCCTATGGCAGAATCGCTGGAGGATCTAAACACTATGCCCAATGACCTATATACCCTCTCCCAATATTCCCAATATTTCTCCATATATTTTTATATTTCAGGATACTGGAGTTCAATATTAATTTTGAAGGTTATAATATTTAAGGTTTTTCATGGGCGGCGGTAGTCATTTACCACCAAGTGAGCCGCACGCTCGTTTGCCCCCACTTCTATAAATAAAATATTTCGGCTTTTTTTAACGAGAAAACATTGAATAGTACGAATAGAAAAAACAGTTTACGGAAAAAACTATATGAAAAATTTCATTTAGTTTTCATGTAGTTTTAGCCGTACTGAAGACACTTCGATTTCATAGCACACAAGTAAAACAAATTCAGCCCTCACCGGTATTACTGAAATTAATTTATTAATTGAATTCATGTAACAAACATACACAGAAAAACAGAAACAGAAAAAAAAGTCCAATAATTTACAAAACATTTCGACATGATGTAAATTCTGTCAAGAAGGTCTGGGGCAGCGCGGCGATCACTACTTACAATAAAACCTTCTCAGAAATGAGAAGTAGCTTTCGCCAAGAAGTTGGAATTCATAAAGGCTATTACATCCTAATATATATATATATATTACATGTGACGTTGTTTGTCCGCGATGAACTCTTCAACTACTAAACTGATTTCAATGAAATTTGCGCACCATGTGCAGTTTGGTCCAACTTAAGAGATAGGATAGTTTTTTTTTTTGCCCATGATTGACCCACTTTTTTTGCGAAGTTAAGTTTTTTTTAATAGGAAATGACAAAAGGTCGTCGAAAAGGGCAGAACAACGTCTGCCTGGTAAGCTAGTTATATCTATAAAATATATATATATAAGCCATAAAATAGATATGAAACTTAATTTAAGCTGTTTACAAAAAAGTAAAGCCAATGTGGGGTCGTTAAAATAAAAACAAATTTTTAATCTACAGCTCCTACAGGTTGGAAATTTGGCGAAATTATTATTTTTGTGATCTTGAGTTCAACTGAGAACGAATTTTACGAATTTCTACTCACGAAGGGGATTGCGGGGGCGTAATACTTGTTCTATATAAAACAAAAAAAAATACGTGTGGCACTCGATGACTGCCGCGGTAAAGCTATTGCATAGCATTTTTTATCAGCTTATGCAATTATAATTATTTATTTATTTTATTTATGCAGTTAAGTCTTTGATATTAAATCAAGTTACACTTTTTGAGCGTGGTGACCGATAAGAAAACATTTTTTTTCTCTTATTGAATAAATGAGAAGTTAATATTGTTTAAAATATTTTTAATATCTTACAATACATGTAGGTTATTCAGGAATTTTTCTCATTAAGTTAGCAGCTAGTGTACATGCATACGTCTAGTCGCACGCACACAAACACCGTGCCGAACTCTGCCGAGTGCCGAAGTCTGCCGAACTGAAACGACGTTAGACGATGCACGACTTTCAACGCCACACCTCCGTGCCCGTCGGAGTGGGGAGCGTGAGGTTTTTTCGTTACGGAATTTCTGGATTCGGTCCCCGCAGTAAAGGCCCGCGATAGAAGCTATGCAACAGCTTAAAAGTTTCTGCCTATTTCCGTTATAGACTTTGATTGCCTCCCTTAATGGTTTATATTTACACTTTTATTTAAATGAAAGTACAATAATAAAGTGAAGACTCTGATCGCATCAAAAACATAAATGTGAAATGAGAGCCAAGTTCAATATTATGATATATGCCTTGGTTGTTGACTTCAACGACATAAAGAAGTGAGATCTAAATGGGTGCCAATTTCAATAGTCAGTCCTGAAATTTATTTATCGCAACATAAAATATCATTTCTTCTTATAACTTAGGATAATAACATATTGTAGCCTAAGGTCTGACTTGGCTAGTTTTTTTACTGACATCTACGTTTATTCGAAACATAACACATGCACCTATTTTTACCGTGATGACTTTTTCTCTTTCTCTCCATTTATTACTCTTTATCTACTTTCTATAAAGAATAAATAATTTTATAATTTTTACGGCATACATTACTTATATTTTTAAAAATTATATCAGGATATTTTCTGGTTTACTATAATCAAGTGACAATAACCAATCTCGAACCTTAACTTTACACTCATGGCTGGAAAGAGGATAAAAATTTAGATTTCTATTTAGCTTATTATACAGTACTGAGGATAGATATGAACTTTGTCGCCTAGAAAAAGCAGTTCGACTTCTGTCAATAATCAATACATCCGGTATTCCGTATTTATTACGACAGATCTCAGGATCATAAGAAGTTAGTGCATGTTTCATTAAGATCAATTGTTGGATGTATAATTGCCTGACAGTCAGCAGTTTGCATTCTTGGTACAGCAGATTTGTAGGATACCCGTACGGTTGAAAAGTAATGGTTTTAAGGAGACATATAAGAGCTCGTTCTAATTTTATCATAAATATTTTGCATGCTCCTCCCCAGGCAATTATACGATATCCTATAATTGATTGTGCTAAGACGTAGTATACAGTTCTTAATAAATCAAAGTCAGCGATGTGCCTTAGTCTTTTAAATGTTCAAATAAGGATCCGAGTGCGCGATGATAAACATCTTTTGCTGGCATCCAAGCCTTTGTCAAAGTTATGTCAAAGCGAAATTCTGTATATAGATGAACTAGAACAATAGCACAAAAAGGAAACTATCAACACACAATGTCAGCAGACGTACACCTGCACTTGGTCAGATATACGCAAAGTTAATGTTTCTATTACTTTTTTATGCATAATAAGAGAGACAAATAAGCACACAGTCTGTCTGGTAAGTGAGTAATGTAGCCCATGAACACGTACGTGTACCCTCGATTAAGAATCGAAATGAGATGCGTTGGTACTCCTTAGGCCTTAGACGAAATCTCTTGTTTCATTACCAGTAAAGGCTCTCCGGTTCTCTACAGTCACCATAAGAAGCACACAGTATTAGGGTATCTTGCTCTGGTATTCTGTGAGAGCGTGGGCCTTACCTGATCGCGCCAAGTTATTTCTACATCAATCATAACATAGCTGCGGCGTGACTCTACTACGTCAAATTGCTGTTACTGAATTAGAAGGCGCTTAAAATTTAGTGCGCTTATCATAAATTTAATGTACCTATTGTGACGGCCCATCGTTATTATTAATAATTAATAATCAATTCCTATATAAGGGGCATCAAAAATAGT